ACTCCTATGAACCCTTTGATTATGCGTTCGACTTGCAACATACAGGGAAGTAACGTCCGTTAATGTGCGTTGGTGTACTAGGGCAGTGACAATCCAAAAAAGCAATACCGGGCTTGCGCTTGCTATCCATCTTGGAATCACTCCAGCGCATGAAGTTACGGACAAGTGTTTTGGAGTGGTCTGCCAACTGCTTCCGGAGATCACGGGCAAGTTCTGCCAGTCCCAGCCACCATTGCTGCGAGCGCTGCTCAGGCTTGGCTGTGCTTACTTCTCCAAGCTGCCACTCTAGCAGTGGCCGCTCATCAGCCAAAGAAAAACGACTTTGAGTTCCCAGACCACTGCAGCGAAGTCCCTTGGAACTTGGTTACCTTGGCCGTGCGCAGGGTGTGCAGAACAAGAATCTGACATTACAGCTCCAACATGAAAACTTCTGGCTATCTGCAGAACCTAGGCTGTAGAATGCCAACCAAAAAGTCTGTACCAGTACCAGATATGCCTGCTAGGAACGGCCAACGGCCTGCACCAAGTAAGCTTGGGCTCGCCGTAAGGCCATGGTGAGAAACTCTAAGTCGGCAGCCGTCAGGGTGCCGCTCGAAGAAACTTGCCACGCCCCCTCTGCATAAGCAAACAATGTCTCTCCATGTGATCTGTACTTTTCTCCGAGAAGCAAAGTGAAGGCTTTTGTTTGAAGAAGCTCGGACTTTCCGTCATCTGCACACTGGTCCAATAGCAACAGGGTAGCTTGCGCCGCAGCACGGCGTTGCTGCCAATCATCAGAGAGGAGTTTGTTGGTCCAACCAAAGGCATCGTCTATCTTATCCCGCAGGAGATCCATCGTGTCACTGAGACTCTTTGCCTGTCTTTCTTTGTCAACGGATAAGCTGATCTCTCTATTCTCGAGCGGGCCTAACATATCCATGCCCTGCGGTTTCCACAAGGAGGAAACCTGTGCAAAGAATGCATCCTTTGGATGGTCGATGTTGCTCGCAGAAGAGATCTGCGACGCCGTCAGCTCATAGGGCAACTCTAGTCCAAGATGTTCATGCGTCAGCACAGATTCGTCCACTTCTGCAGCTGCTCTGTTTCTATCGTATTCGGTCGCAAAATCTTCCATGGGGCCCTGGACCCTGGAGATTCAAAGATAAAATGGTGAGAAGTCCTGTGTGTTGTTTTGTTGTCCATCCAATGTCTGGTTCTCATGCCAGTCTGTGGTGTATCTCTCTTCTCCTGTACGTTACTTTTGCTGTGTGGGATCATCTCCATTGTGCCGAAAATCTTCGATTGTTACACAACTGTGAATGATAAGTCTCTTATATTGTCCAGTGTCTGAGAAGTGTTAAGTGTTCTTGTAGTCATACGAAGTGTGATTGTCTCCACTGCAAAGGTCCTGATCTTTTCTAATTGTCTTGTATTGTTTACTTGTTGTGTTGAAAGCTGTCTTGTATTGTTTTAACTACTTGTGTGCCGCATGGTCCGGAACTGTCCAACGAACGGGGGCCCCCCCCCCCCTGGATCAAATCCCCCCCTCCGCCGTTGCTGTTTGGCTCACATCCATCCAATTTTGATGGCGTCATGGGCGAAGCACTGTTGTGGCGGGGACACCTGGATCGTCCAGATTGTCCAGTTTTGATCCTTGGTAGCGCAGACAAAAAGTCGAGGTAGAGCTACTACTACTACTACTACAACTACTACAACAACAACAACTACTACTACTACTACT